ACAATGTATCGTCTTACCACTTCGAACCAAAGCCAAAACTCTAACAAATTTAGACAGTGCTGGCGCAGATTTTATCCGCCTATCCAACGACTTCATCACGCCGTTCGCTTTGGACGATGCCATTCGATTAGAGAGACTGTTTCGAACGGAGAAATTCTCTAACTGTTTGAGTATTACGATATCAAGAAATTTCCATTGACGAATTCGCTTCGTTTCCACCAACCCTGATAATCAATACAGACTGTTCATTTTTTCCGCTCCGCCGCAGGCTGCACCAAAGCTTGAAAACGCTCAAGCGATTCTTCAATTTCAGAATGTAGATCCGGTGATTCAATGGGGCGTAACCCCATGCTATGGCGCTAATTGAAGTTTTGGAATCTAAGAGTCCAGACTCCAAATGAAAACCCATTGAATGGTGTAAAATCAGGTAGAACCAAGACGAACGCTGGATACAGTCAATTATATTCAAAAAAGCAAGCAAGCAAGCACGTAAATATCACAAATGCCAATCACACATTGGCCCATTTTTTGCTGTTCAATCGATGTCAGTAGGATACGTCTGTTAACATTCCGGTATTCAGTCAATAAGATTGTATACACTTGAACTCATCCGACTGGTTGTTTGGAAGCTGTATCGTGATGCGTACGTGCGTACCGCTATCAGATCTCACTGCACGATTGTGAAATCATTTCATCGTGTAATTAGTATTTACCCACAACTTACCACACTGTCCATGCGAGTGAGACCGCTCAGATTTTCTTCCCACAAACTTGCACCCTAAACACCTTTCCTTTTGTACGAGCATTTCTCACGCGCAATTTGTCCATGGTTTATGTCAGCTTATTGTCTCGAAAAATGTCACACACGGAAGATCACCCCAGTAAATGTATTTCCGACTCCGGCCCACGATCCTGCTGTCGTTAGTTCTACGTACACAACAATGTTTTCCAAGTATCTTGCATACACTGTGCATTTCCCGATTTCTAGCCAATCCAATCAACTTGGAAATGCTTTCCGTTCACATATACTATCTCATATGCCATATGCCACATTCAGGGTTCATATTCTTATTGTTTTTGTCATGATATGTGATCGGTGAATGCACATTTTCGGATACTTAAGACCCGTACTCAGTTTTACGTGTGGTCATTTCATATGCCACCATCATCCTACAGCGTAGCGCAGTGAAGCGGACTTCGCCGCCAAACTCGCAATGCATACATATATGGTAAGTAAGAATGTGTGAAGAGGATAGGGTTTGGACCCATTTTTAGGGACGGGAAAAGAAAGCAAACTACTATGGTCAACAAACTTAGTATACTGTCCAACTGTGCATGGAAGCGTTTTCAAGCATTCTAGTCTGATAAGAAGAAACGGTGACATCGCCACTGTTGTCAGTTTGCTTCCCCGACCTTCGGTATTCGGTATGTCGTCATCACCAACCCTAGATTAGATAGGACTGTTCAACTAACCCGACTGAAAAATGACCGCGACGACAGCTGAGATATTCTACAATCGCTTCAAAGTACTAATTCTTCTTCCTAATGGACTCAACCGAGTACTGGAGCTCACAAAACAACCGGTTGTCATGCGATTTGGGATGTTGTACACTCAGCAATCCAAACATTAGGAATTTGTTTTTTTTACAATGGTCACACGGTAGCACCACGCGCAGATATTCGACAGAGGAATTGCACAGCACAGCAGATCGATAAGTTTTCGTACTGGAATTCAAATTCCATTGTACGCGGTGCATACGCGCATCGGTTCATAAAACAGGATTATAGCGTTGAATGTTGATAGAAAACTCTTCTGATTTACAGAAAAGAGCATACCAAATTCATAAGGCCTAAAAACTATACCTCAACTTGCAAAATGGTATTCTCGTGGGTTTCTTTTTATTCACAAGTAGCATGGGACTCTTGATTAAATCGCCAATGAATCAAACAGGAATAACAAGTACTTCTACTTCCTGCTCGTCAAGTCCTAAATTCGGCATCCGTTGAGCTCGACGAGTACGCATTAGTTAAACA